AGCAAATTCTTTAAGAATGGAAAACCCTCTCCACCTAACAAAAATATATTTTAAATGTATTCGTGTGTGTGTGTGCACATGCATTTAAAAAAAGAGATCTAAAAAGTGATATGCAATTCTATTTAAAATTGAGATTTAGCCCTTTCTCACTGCTGTAGTACAAATATTAGGAAAGATTAATTTTGCTCTTGTTGTATATTTTCCCTACAGATACAGTAAAATTTTTTCATTTCTTATTCCAGAAACAATTATACCACATAGCATTACCATATACACAATAATATTTAGGGTAGCCTTCTCCTCACAACAAAAATCTAAAATAGACTCTATCTTTATCTGCAAATGCAGCCTTATAATAACCCTATCATGTAAAGACAAAGCCTATGAAAATAAAGTTTTATAATAATTAAATCTTTAAATATACACTAAACCTAAACTTACAATAATAAAGTAATATGTCATGGAGTATGTTTTAAGTACCATTCCAGTCCACAAAAAAAAAAATTAGACATTCCTATTTTTGCAAAAAAAAGTCTCTGTCTGCACTCTGTTTGTTTCAATTATTCAGGGCAACCCGGCTGATAATTATATAGTCCCCAGTTGCTGAGTAAAAGTAAAGCTTAATTAGCCAGCAGGAAATATCGATTAAGATCCAGCAGGACATCTCTGGAGGTTCTCTCACATACCTAGAGGGACTAAGTTCTGGCTATGTCCTTCCAAAGGATAAAATTCCAAGCATTAAGCACAGTCAGCCATGCAAATTAAATTCTAGTCATAACCCTACAAAAGCTCTCCCTTTCCTAAAAGTTGTCAGTTCAAACATTCTAAACCACACTGCTGTAAGGCTATAAACAGCTAATGTGACACTATTTTATTACTAAAATTCTATAACATTTCTAAAATTACTATAAAATTTCAAACAAGAGGTGAATGCAAAATATCTGATCATAAGAGACAAAACAGGATGAAACATAGAAGGCCTAACCTATGATATAGAAAGCCTGGCAAATACAGCCAGAAAGGCACAACCAAAAGAGGGTAACATTGATGAATGGGACCTCCTAAAGATTAAGTCCCTGTGTGCATCAAAAACTTTTCCAATAGGATGAAAAGAAAACCTACTGACGGGGGGGAGGGAAACATTTGAAAATTGTACTTTGGATAAAGATATCATAACAAAATTTATACATTACAACAGGGTCTGCACAAGAAAAAGACTGGTAACACAATTATAAAATGGGCAAAAAGTATGGAAAGACCTTTCACAGAGGAAGGCATTTGGATTGCCAACAGACACATGAAGAAATGCTCAATACCACTGGCAGTATGAGAGATGCAAATTAAACTCATAATGAGATACCATTTCATTCCAATTACAGTGGCAAAGTTTAACAGGACAACAAGCAATAAATGTTGGAGAGAATGTGGAGAGACTGGCACTCTCATACACTGTTGGTAGGATAGTAAAATGGTTCAGTCACTCTGGAAGGCAGTTTGGTGTTTCCTCAAAAAGCTGAACATAGAGATTCCATATGACCTAGCTATTCCACTGCTAGGAATATACTTCAAGGAAAACAGAACTGAGACACAAATGAAGATTCATACACAGCAGCATTATTCACAATAGCAAGTACATGGAAACAGCCCAAATATCCATTAATAAATTACTGTTCTTGTTGTTGTTGTTATGTGCCATCAAGTCACCTGCAACTCATAGCGACCTTATGTACAACAGCCCTAAACCCTGCTCTATCCTGTGCCAACCTCACTTCTCAGACACACCTACCCCAATTACCCCAGTCACTGAATCAATCCACCTCATAGAGGGTCTTCCTCTCCTGCACTGTCCCCTCCACCCTCCCAAGTAGGACATTCCCTCTCTGGAGACTGGTCCCACCTTGCAACATGTCCAAAGTATGTCAGACAAAGCTTCAGAATCCTTGCCTCCAAGGAGCAATATGGTTTAACCCACTCTAGGATGATCTGTTCGTTTTCCTAGCAGTTCATGGTACACTCAATACTCTTCTCCAGCACCACAGCTCAAAGGCATCAATTCTCCCTCTGTCCTCCCTAGTCATTGTCCAGCTCTCTGACATGTAGCAAGTGATTGCAAAAACCATGGCCTGTATCAGGCACACCTTAGTCTCCAGAGTGACACCATTGCTCTTCAGTGCTTTGGAGAGATCCCTAACAGCAGACTTCCCCATCGCAATACATCTTTTAATTTCATGGCTACTGGTGCCAAGAGTGTTGACTGCAGAGCCAAACAAACTAAAGCTGTTAGCAATTTCAATCTCTTCACCATCCATCCTGATGCTGCCAATTGGCCCAGTGTTGAGACTCTTTGTCTTCTTGATATTGATCCTCAATCCACATTGAAGGCTACAGTCCTTGACCTTCTGCAGCAAATGCTTCAGGTCCTCCTCAGTTTCAGCAAGCAGGGTTGTGTCATCTGCGTAATGCATATTGTTGATAAATCCTCCTCCAATCCTAATGCCACACTTCTCCTCATACAGCCCAGCCTGCCCAATAATCTGTTCTGCATATAGGTTGAAAAGGTACGGAGATAGGACACAACCCTGGCACATCCCTTCCCAATTTTGAACCATGCAGTTTCCTTGCTCTATTCTGACGACTGCCTCCTGGATCAAGCATACGTTTCACATTAGCACAATCAAGTGTTCTGGGATTCCCATTCTTCTCAGAGTATATGTAAGGATGTTCTGAGAAGAATATTAAATTATCTAGGAAGTATTAAAGAAGATGGAAAGAGTATACAGAGTCATTGTACCTAAAGGAATTGGCAGACACAGAAGAATTTCATGAAACAACATACAAGCAAGAGCCTATGGTGATGAAGGAAGACGTTTAAGCTGCTTTGAAGGAATTGGCAAAAAATAAGGCCCCAGGAATAGATGGTATACCAATTGACATATTTCAACTAACAGATGCTGCCCTAGATATGCTCACAAAGTTGTGTCAAGAAATCTGGAGGACAACCACTTGGCCAACTGACTGGAAGAGATCTGTATTTGTTCTAAAGAAAGGTGATCCAACAGAGTGTGGAAATTATTGAACAGTATCATTGATACCACATGCAAGCAAGATTCTGCTGAAGATTATAAAATAATGATTGGAACAGCTCGGATCCTCGCTTCCAACATGACGAAGAAAAGGAGAAACAACGGCCGTGCCAAAAAGGGCCGCGGCCACGTGCAGCCTATTCGCTGCACTAACTGGGCCCGGTGCGTGCCCAAAGACAAGGCAATTAAGAAGTTCGTAATCCGAAATATAGTAGAGGCAGCTGCTGTCAGGGACATTTCCGAAGCGAGTGTTTTCGACGCCTATGTGCTTCCAAAGCTCTATGTGAAACTGCACTACTGTGTGAGTTGTGCCATTCACAGCAAGGTGGTGAGGAACCGTTCTCGTGAAGCCCGAAAGGACCGGACACCTCCACCTAGATTTAGACCTGCAGGTGCTGCCCCACGACCACCACCAAAGCCTATGTAAGGATTTGATTCCTTAAAAGGCTGAAGAAAAAACTCGTCTGAAAATAAAATGGAAATTACACTTAAAAAAAAGTGATTGGAACAACACATCAAGAGACAATTGCCAGAAGTGCAGGCTGGGTTTAGACAGGGTCGTGGTACTAGGGATACTGTAGCTAATGTTAGATGGATCTTGGCTGAAAGCAGGAAGTACCAGAGGAATGTCTATCTGTGTTTCATTGATTATGCAAAGGCATTTGACTGTGTTGACCACAGCAAACTGTGGCTGACTATGAGAAGGATAAATGACTAGATTGAGGTATCACAGCACATTCATACAATGGAATACTACGCAGCACTTAGGAGCAACAATTTTGAAAATACTATTTAACGTGGAAGAGGCTAGAGAGCCTCTAAGTGAACAAACTCGGGTGCATAAGAATAAATACTGTGTAAGACTATTATTGTAAAAACAGAAGGATAACCATTATGATGTCTATGGATATCCAAAAAGGGAAGGAGAAAGGGTAAGAAGACTGAAAAGATGGAAGGAAGTCACAGCCTCGCGGAGTTTGGAGGTCATAGAAAGGGGTGAACAAAAAACAAACAGTGTACATGAATAAAACACAATGTAAAAAATTATTGTATGCAAATCAATAAAAAATATTAAGATGGGAAAAATATATCATCAAGTAAGATTTTTGGTTCTATTTCCCCCATAAGCATGTATGTACCTACCTATCAGATGTTCACAGTCTAAATATCCAATTAAAGCAGGCTTCTTATTTAAAAATAGAAACAATCAATAAAAAACCCTTCATGATATCCTTGCTCAGTTTGAGAATAAAGTATTCATGGGCTAAACTAGATAAGTTTAAGAGAAGGATAGGGCAGGGTTTCATTTTGTTATGCACAGGGTGACTGAGTGGGAGCCAACTCAGCAGCACCGAACAAAACAGGGAAGATGTGGAAATAAAAACAAAACAAAAAGCCTAACAAAAATCAATTCTCTCATACTACTAATACCTTCTCTTTAGTAAACTTAACAAATATAAATGTTTAGCTTTCATAATTTTTCAGTTAAATACAAAAGTATTCAATAAATGCCAAAATAAAAATAAAATTATTATTTTAGGATCTTTATTAAAATATTTCTATTTTTATTACACTATGGCTGCCTCCACTTAGTAAATTTAAGCTTCTATAATACCAAATATAAAAAACCATAATATATAAGTCTCACCTTGTTAATTTACACATTACTAATTATACATTAGGAGTACCAATAGTACAATCCTAGGCGGTTGGTTGCTAACCCAAGACAGCACTCCTTTGCCGTCTGGCAGTTCAAATCCATCAGTCACTCCACTGGAGAAAGATGGGCAATCTCTTTTCTTGTGATTGGCAATCTTGGAAAACTTTCTGGAGGGTCAGCTATTAATCTGATTATACACTATTGGTTACAAATTGTTTTAAAACATATGAAAAATAATGGCATAAATTTATACAAACTTGGCTTTGATTTGCTGAAAGCCCCGTAGGATGTGGTCTCTGTGGTCTCTTGCACCAGCACTGAGGTTTTCATTTCGCAAACCTTCCAACAGGAAATCTTCACTATCTAAATTTAAAGGAAAGTTGATCAATGTAAAAGAAACTAAAGAGGGGGGAAGGAAAAATTCTGAAGGGCTAATAAACAGGTATTGTTTTCTCTTTATATACACCTATAAAACTATATGCAACACTGATGATTCAAGATCTTGCTATGAAGTTAGAAAACTGGACTATATATTAACCACAAGAAATAAACTATTTTATAAGCCATTTTAAACAAACATTTCAATATTAATTATCATGATGGCAGAGGACGGACTATCAATTTAATAAATATTACAAACCAATCACAGAAGGTCACAGGCCAATAAAAACTAGAAAGAAATACCAGTAAATAGAGCTGAAACAAAAAGTAGGATTGAACTGCAGAATCATGAACAAAAAGGGCAGGCACTCAAAAAAGAGAAATTAATTAGAAGATACATCATCAATGAAAATGACAATGCAGCCAAGTGAAGGAACTCATGTGGAAAAGAAAAATGTGTCCAAGAGAAGTGAATTGCAATTAATAAGAGTGAACATTATAATATAGGGACATGCAGGAAAAAAATGAGGCAGTCTCCTCCCATAAAGATTTATAGCCTCAGAAACCTGGTAAGAGTGTTGCCATGAGTCAGAATCAACTCAGTTAACAGTAGGTTTAATATTGGGGTGATTTTTTAGATATAACACTAAAACACAAGCAACAACAAAAACAAAACAAATTGGATATCATTAATATTAAAGATTCTCGTATTTCAAAGGATACAATTAATATAAAAGACAACTAACTCATAGACTGGAAAAATTTGCAATTCATACAGAATATATAAAGAATTCTTGTGACTGGCTGTTAGGTGGGCCATTGGTTTTGCATATATATTTTTAAATTATGTGGAAAAATACCCCTTCTATTCCTATTTCGTTGAGCATTTTATCAGAAAAAAATGTTGAATTTTGTCATAAGCCTTTTCTACATCAATTTATGATCACTAGTTATTTCCTTAATTTTATTTCTACAGTAGATTATACTGATTATTTTTCTAATGCTGAACCACCTTTACATAATTAGTATGAATCCCACTTGATCATGATAAATTATTTTTTTAAAACATGATGTTGGATTCTAATTGAAGTTTATTGGGAATTTTTACATCTATATTCATGAGGAATATTAGCCTATAATTTCCTATTTCAGTGTGTCTGCCTGGCCTCGGTATCTGGGTTATGTTTGCTTCATAGAATGAATTCAGAAGTATTCCATAATATTTTCTATTCTGAAATTAATGCATTTCTTCTTCAACACATATTTACTCATAATATGTTAAAAATGTAACAAAATAGAACTAATTCAGAGTTTATGGTCTATCAAAGAATTAAGATATTACAATCAGAGTTAAGTTATAGGACTCCTTGGGTGGTACAACTAGTCAAGCACTCACTAGATTACCTAAAACTTTGTCGTTCAAATGGTCTCATAGGTGTCTTAGAAAATAGGCCTGATGATCTGCATATGAAAGGTTTCAGACTTGAAGATCCTATGAAAGGACTCTATTTTGTCCATGTGGGGTCAACATGAGTTGTAATTGACTTGATGGCAACTAACAGAATAGATCATAATGCAAATTATAATAAGGAAAGAATGGGTTCACAGGCCCATGGTCAAAATATATAACCTAGAAGGGAAAGTAGGTGTGCCAGAAAACCAATGCTTAATCTGAAACCTCAAATTAATAGGCCAAGTGTATGTGTCAGAAGAGGAGGGAGAAGATATTGGTAGCATGAAGGAATGAAAGGCCCAGATATAGAGAACACTGTGTGCAAAAGCCTGGAGGTAAAAGATTGCCTTTCAGTTGGATAGAATAAAAGATTTTCAACATGGTGGCAGAAAACAGAGTTAAAGGTAAGGGGATGGATGGGCTATGAACAAGTAAGTTAGGAGGCAGCCTAATAAGTATCTACAGTATTCTACACTAAAAATAATATACCATTATTTTAAATCACATATTTAAAAGAGAAACAGCTCTAGCAAAGATCTTTTGGTGAAGGGAAATATAATACACAATATCACTAAACAAGAGAAAATAGAGAGAGACATAGAAGGATTAATGGAATATTAAAAGGAAGGAGTGAGGGAAATGTGATTACATTGTATTGAAATTAATGTTCTTTTAGGTGCCACCAAGTCAAGTACTACTCATGACAACTCCATAAACAACAGATCTGAACCCAGTCCTATCCTGTGCCATATTCATCGGCTCATTGCTGCAGTCACTGCGTCAATCCATTTTCTTAAGGTTCTTCCACTCTTTTGCCTACCCTCTACCTTTCCAAATATGATGTCCCTTTCTAAGGAACAGTCTCTCCTAACATGCCCAAAGTATGTGATAGGAAGCTTTTTGTCATCTTTGCCTCCAAGAAGCATTCTGGCTGCACTTTCCCCAAGACATATCTGTTTGTTTTTTGGCATTTCATGGAATATTAAGTACTCTTCTCTCCAACACCTCAGCTTAAAGGTATCAGTTCTCCTTAGGTCATCTTTATTCACTGTCCAAATTTCAAATGCATAGCAGACGGCTGAAAAAAAAATCATGGCCTGATTCAGGCATACCTTAAAGTGACATCATTGCTCCTCAGTAATTTGGAAAAGTCTCTGACAACAGATTTTCCCAATACAGTGTCTCCTGATCTCCAGACTGCTGGTACCAAGGATGCTGATTGTGGATCCAAGTAAAACAAAACTTGGTAATTTCAACCCTTTCTCCATCTATCAAGATGTTGCCTATTGGTCTAACAGTGAGAATGTTTGCTTTCTTGATGTTGAGATGTAATCCATACTGAAGGCTGAAAAAATTTATAGTAAAGTAAAAATGTGTATGAATGAGTGAACAAAAAATTAATTTGCTTTATAAACTTTCACTCAAATCATGTCCTCACTTTGTAGGTCTTTCCTAGTGATTAAGTATTCTAGCAAGTCAATTTAGAAAAAATAGAAAAAACACAGAAAACAAGGGAACTGAGATTAAGCATAACAGAGAAGACATGATTTGGTGATAACAGTCTTGAGACAAAATAATACAACTAAAGTCACCAAAAAAGATTCAGACTAGGAAGATGCACCCAAGACTACTAGGTTGTATAAACTGATGAAAGTTTCTGCCATTCCCCCAAATTCTCTGACTTTTTCCGTTTACGAGACAATTCTTTTGCTTATCTGGAGGAAAAATATTATCTTATGACTCAGATTTTTCCAACTACTAAAAGATACAGTACTATTTTACTAAGTAAAAATCTTAGTATATTGAAATAAAAATATGTCCTTTTTTCCTAACAATTGCAAATGCTTTTGTTAGTTTAATCAATGGATCTTTAAGCCTGTTAACAGTCACACTCTCAACAGGAAGATGGAGCTAGAGGTAAAAGGGACAACGATGAGGAGGGGAAATTGTTTTTCCTTCCCTCAATGCTCCACTGCTGGTATTCACACACATCCCAAATAAGGACCCTACTCCTACTCAGTCTTTCATTGTTTTTGTTCAAACACTCCTCTAGGTCATATAGCCCAGGTATGTTCACTTGCCATACAGCGGTAACTTGTGGTTACTGTGAGGCTGAACACAGTGACATTGATGTGTCAAATGCATTAATGGTTGGTTACCCAATGTGGACAGTGTAGGGTGGCAGGAGTGGCACCCACTTCTAAGCTTACCTCCAGAAACCCTATGAACCTAGAGAGAGGATGAAAGATACACAAGCATTGAGGACTCTCCTTCATAGGGTCACTATGAGTCGCCTGTGATTCGACGGCACTTAACAACAACTCCTACTCTCATTCTGGTGGGTAGGTCACCTCTTCACTATTCCACAGCATCCCCAATTGTTCCTACTCAGGCACCTATCCTCATCCTTCCAGAGTCATTCTCTATTCTCAAGTACTACTGTTTGAGTTTGAAGTTAGAGAACACAGAGATAATCAGTGGGTTCCCACTGACTAACAAGGAAGAAGTAAACAAAACTGGAGAGATGTCCAGGCTTCAGAAGAAAATTATCTTCCTGGAATTCCAAATTGGAACATGTTTGCCATCGAACATGTCTATAATTCTCTTTTTCTCAGGTATATTTAACTTTTCACTGTAATGGCCTAAAATATAGCCCAAAAAGCAAGACACTTTTTCTCATAAAACACTATTTCTATGCTATAAGCAAACTTTGGAAACCAACCTATTAGTTGATTAAAACAAATTCTGAAGCAGGTTGATATTTCAGTCTCATCCTCTCTTAAAATTATCAATAATACCTAGCATCTTTTTAGTTAAGAAGAACCAATAAATCATCAGTTACTAGGGGGGGGAAAAGGCTTTATTTTATAGATGTTTCACTCTGAAGGTGGTAAAACCTTAGAAGATCAGTCACTGTACCTCAGGATGAAGAATCAAAGCTGTGTTGGAAAGAAATAATTCTACTTCAGAGAGAGTAAAAAAAAATTATAACTTCATTCTAGGGAATTTGATATACATTAAAGGTGAAGGACAGAAAAAGTTCACTGGGATACTGAGAGAGAAGAGGAGTGGAAGCCAAGGAGAGGAGAAACTCCCAGGGAGCTTGTATTTGTTTTAATGTGTATAAGCAGAAGAAATGGGAATAAAGATTTGTTTGTATCATCCCATGATTTACATGAGGGAACTAACAGTAAGATCTCCTTTCTGGTAATGATCTTTATCTACTAGCTTGTCATGCTTATAATTTTTCTAATCAAAACAATTTCAACCTTGGAAGTAGTAGAAAATCACATTTTGTTCTAGAGTATAGTCAAGTGTCTTAACTAGTACTTTATGTTATAAACTGCGACTTTGCAGAAGATATAATCTGGCTTCTTATCCACTTTACATCATGGGCAGCTCTATTAGAGACAAAAGTAACCATTCACAATTTCTTATCACAGTTACATTAAAAATATCTTATCATTAGGGTTGCTGCAGTCACTCTTAAAGATCTCAGTAAAATAAAGTAACATGTTGTTGTAGTTAT